ATATACACACACACACACACACACACACACATAGGGGGTTCGTGCGCTTGCGTGTGCCTCAAAAGAGGGCTTACAATGACTTACAAAGATACATAACAGCTACAAGTGTATGCACTACTTGCTTTATGCAAGCACTATATCGGATCAATCACTATACAGGATTTACCCTATTATACTTTATCGACACGAATTGATAGGTGAAACAACAAACAGCCACCCACAAATAGTCTATAAACAAAGCATCAGGCTGTCTTTGATTTCACATGAACAACGGTTAAAGTTACTTGTCGTCAGGCTACAGAAGAATACCATAATTCCTCCGTTCAGTTAGGCCTAAGACATCGAGAGTCAGGCAGACCTATAACAACCCAGCCACAACACATACTTGCGAATAACATGCCTTACCTTAACACAGAATCGACCACAGATTCGAGCGTTTATATTTTTTCTACGGATCTTTGAGTTAACATGTACTAAACATGAGTGTAATTTGCACCGCAGCGCCCCCACACCTTGATGCTCATGACAAGAATAGCATGTATAGTTATCTTTATTGAAGTGAATTAGGTTTAAATCGCCGTCATGCATGAATGAATGATATTTTTGCAATTTTACACATAATAATCCACGATGATCACATTACACAAAACTGAAATTGCACGTCAAAATAACACATTGTCAATATTTTTTGAGACCCCCAAAATTTCACAAATCCCGTTTTCAGGGGAGCCCATGTCTTGTTAAGGGGAGCCGAGCTCCCTCTAGCTCCCCCGTAGTTCGCACCCTGAAAATGGCGTCTGAAAGTAAAAAAGCGGTATTTGTAAATGTATGTTTCTGACTTTGTCAACTTTTGATTTCATTTGTAGCAAGAAATTAGTATTGTGGTAATCAAGTATTGGCTTACTTCTCACCAAAGCTCTCTCGGTTTTGTTGTAGATCATCGGACCATTATGCTGCATCAGAAGCCTGTCCAAAATCAGTTTCATTACGCACCTTCGCACACAAACACTGCCTACAAAGTCATTGCCTGATAGGGCAGAGAGGCAACAAGTCAAGATTTTGGATGCAGCCAATAATAACTCAGTTGCTTAATAGACATTGCAAAAACTGTGAAAATGGTTCAAAGAAAAGGTCAAGTAATTTTGTCATAAATTCACTTATGGCCAAATCATTTTTGGGAACACTGTACGTGTGTTTCGGGGGCCTTGCTCTGGAGTTCATAGATAGTATATAAAAACATATGCAGTTCTACATAAGCTCATCCAATATGGTCTTATCCAAAGATGTTCAAAGTTATGTTTTTTTTTTTCCCAGCAGCTCTCGAGGATCATTGTGCACTGCAATTTGCTGTCCCTGTGGACGAGGTTGTGGTTGGAGACAGACAGAGTGGGCAGTCTTCACTTACCTCAGACAGAGTCATGAACAGGCAGGCGGCAGCGAGGAGGAAGAGAGAACCTCGATCCTGTGATAGCCATATGAGATTCCACATGCTCTGATGAGTCATTTCTCCCTCCCTCCCTTCCTCATCCCCCACTCCCTCCCTCCCTCCCTACATATGAAGCGTATGAGCCTGAGTCATCAGCTAGCTTTCTTTCTCTTGCTCCAACCATGCTGCCTTGTCTCTTTTCTTTCTTACTTCTTTCACTATTTCTGTTTCCGTTATGCTGCCGCCACTTTCTACCTGTCATTCACATTCTCTCTCTGCCTGTGTGAAACTAGCAGGAGAACAATCGGATAGAAATGAACATACATTCTGAGCAACGGCATTGGTATTCCCCCATTCACATCAAAAATTCCCCTCACTGCTTGCCTGGGAGACAACGGATGGCCCTATGCCAAGATGTCAAAATGCGCAGTGAATGAGAGAAGCAGATATATTTGACATAAGAGTTACTGATTTGAATGCGCAACAGATCTCAAGCACTGGGATCTGGATTTTACTGCATAAGAACATGTTTAGTACCTGAAACGTAACCACCTCAGATTCTGTAAACACTCTTCTCTAAAGGATGATGTCTATAAGGAAAGCACATTTTGGGGCTAATCACTATATTACAGATCCTGTGGGAGCTGTTATGTTAGGACTGATTTAAGAGCCGTTAATAGCTGAGCATTGCAAGAGCAATAAGGATTTTTAGGGGCATTATGACTGGGTCAGTATAACACAGCTGCCCCTAAAAGTCCCTCACTTTTCTTGCTGACTTATTCACAGTTTCTTTGTCCGGCATCTGCCTGCTGTTCAAGAAATATTTAAGGTTTATACCATGGCTCTAAAGACTCAAACTAAAGCCCAAAGTAAAGGTCAGTCTGGACTATAATATCCCTCCTCTCCCTGAACAAGGGCCAACCATAATGTCAGACCCTTATTATTAGAATGCATTAAATGGCTAAACTATTTTAAATGACAAACTGTGTTTTTTAACTGAACACAAAGCGGTTTTCAGTGGTTTACAGCAACTGTCATTTACAAATTACAACACCTCTTGATCATTCAGGCAGATTTTTCACAGTACATAACTTGCTTGTTACAATCAAATTATGCAAATAAAATATTATAATATTAATAGAAGTCAAAGCAGAAGTCAAAACTTTATGCAAACTCCTGAGAAACGGTCTGGTAAAACGATAAAACGACTTGCTAATCATTGGTAAATGTGAAAATAAGTAAATATGAAATTTAAAGATTACATTTTTGTGAAATAATTGGTAAAACCAATGTATGTTTTAACCTGTATAGTATGAATATATTATGGGTATTTTTAAATGCTCGCTTTTAATTCCTATATTAGGTGCTAAGTTAAAATATAGCAAATTAGATATTTTATGGTATCTGAATAGGAACTCATCTTGTAACATCTAATGAAATAACTTTTAAATATACAATTCATTATAATTCCATGCTTTGCATGTGCTGCATTGGAAGAGGTTAGTTTACAATGATTACAGGCTTTTGCAACTGTCAAGATGTGTGACTGAGCCAGAACAATATACAAATCCTTTGGGAAACTATTGGCAGGCAGCTTTGAGAACTGCTTAATATGACAAATTATGTAAAAATATGTATCAGACATGCTTGGTAACTATCCCAGAATTTATACACACGCTAACACAGCTAACCTGCCTCTGCCACTCCCTATACAGTAAAATCTTTAATGAGAACTGACATACTTTTCATTTCACAGAAACTAATGAAGTTTATATTTTTGCTTTTTGACATCTTTTTGATATCTTGTTGTCCTTGAACTCAGAATCTTACTTTCAGGCACTCAAAACCAGACTTTTATTTTGTGTTCGAGTCTATTAATTTAAAAATCTTTACTTTACTCTTTGTGTTACAAAAAGGTGCTGTTCTTGTAAGTTATTTTAAGTAAAGAAAAATGCCTAAATTCCTAAATTCCAATTTGTTTGTATTTTTATATGTTCTAGCCTATGTTTTGATTGTAAGTATATATATCTGACATACCACTTCAATATTCACAAATAGTTCTACTTAAAAAATAAATAAATAAATAAATAAAAATAACCAAAGTAAAAATATTAAATAATACAACACCTAAGTTTTATAATGAAAAACAACTACTCATAACTAAATTCTTAACAAAAGTGTATCATATATTTAATTTGAACATTCATAATAAAATTATGCAAGTTCACAAAATAATTGGCTGATACAAGCCTAAACCAGTAATAATCTTTTGTATCAAATAATCTTTTGTATCAATCATTTTTATTTTTTCTCTTTCTTTCTTTCTTTTAACTACACACAACTTTTTGTTAAAGCTAACAGATACTGTAAAATACTTATGATGACTAAAGATAATTTCAGATTTTTCAGCCTATATGTATTTAATTATATTAGTTTAATTAGGCTGTAGTAATATGTAGTACTTAAGAATACATAGCCTACATCACATTTTTTTTCATATATCAAATATTTTAAGTACATAAATAATTCTGCATTTAAATCATCAATAAAAAATGAAAGGTTTAAGAAAGTTTTTTTTTTTTAAGTTTGAAGAACGGAAATTAAAAATTTTTATGTTATCAATGATCCCATTATCAAAGAATAGAACAGAATCTTTAACTATTCTATTCTGTTGTGTTCTATTTCAGTACTTTATTATTATCAATACTAGATATAAACTCCACTACACACACACAAACACGGTCAATTGACAGAGATGGTCACATGGGCCGAAAACTGGGACTTTGTAGGCCAGTTGAATAAAAGGAAAACTCACCTTGCCCGCAAAGACCCAGCCTCTGACACACTCTCAGTTGTTGCTGAATTTTGCCTCAGGTTGCGTGATCGTGCGTTAAAAGTGTGTTAGTCTGCGTTAATCTATGACATTTGCAATAGACCATCGGCATATCTCGGAAACGCGATCATCCCAGCGCCTATGACATGAGAAATAACGACACGACGCGTCCAGTGAAGAGCGCGCGAGCCTATCCAACCGCCAGGGTCCCACTTTTTAGCTGTCATTTTCACCATGTCCACCACCAGCCTTCCTCCTTGGAGCTTCTTTAGAAAGAAAGGGCATATCGCCTGAAGAAGAACGGAAAATGTTGCCGTGCAGTGAGAAGTTGCTGCCACTCTTCACACATTATCATCACCCGCCCCCTTATTTGCGCTCAACTCCTCATGAAGACACAGTATATCCACAGGGACCACTTACAACACTCTCCCTTTGCGCAAAAGTGGACGAAGGGAAAAAGTCAATAACACGCGGTGGAACAGTGAGACTCGTTAATGCGCAGCAAGTCTTTTGAAATTCTCCATGTATGCCGTTTTAGCCAGAGCGACCCCATGTGCTCGTTATTAATGAATTATCCATCTGGCTGCTGTAGACATATCATATTTGTACATGTTGCGCTGAAGCGCCACCGACTGGTTCCTTTGACCACATGCGGAATAAATTGTGTCTGGGACCAGAATCAGAAAAGCCTACTATGGCGAAGGCTTAGCTTATGAATATTAATTAAGACAGGCTCACGTTGCTTAGTAACCATTCAGTGTCCATTCACGTAGGCTACCCTAATTAATTTTTAATCTTTGGTTACTCTTTAGTTAAACCGGTTGCTGGTTTGATCTACTGGGTAGGCGTCACTCAAACTAATTAATATTCATAAGCCAATATTCATCGTAGTATAGGATGTGTATATCCGCGCCCGGGACCTCCCAAAATTGGATCGTTGTGTGACTGCATAGCCTGGCTATTTCAAGATCCTCTGTAGAACCGATGATAAATGCACTGGACCTGTCATAATAAATCAAGTCCTTTATGTGCTATCAAAACATTTACTGATTTAGTGGCATTTTATAAAAATAAAGAAATTAATTAACTATATATTAACACATTTTTTAGTGCCTTTACTTAATATATAATTAGAAAAATCCATCATTATTACATTTATGTCGCCTCTAAAGTCTGTTAAGTGTTTAAATTGAATGTCTGTGTAACACCATTTAAAAATTGTGTTACATTTATTTCTGGTTTTTATAGGCCTCTTTTGAAAACTGAAATTATCCTATCATTAGGCAACAGACTGTAAATGTATGCTTTTTTCTTCAATTATTTGGGATTCCCATTTTAAAGGCTCTCATTGCGGTGTGGAGCGGCCCCCTGTGGATACACATTAATATACCATTCGTAAACACTGGTATTAATTTACATTTTCCACGACTGTAGTTGCATAGGTAAATATTACGGGCCTATATAACAAGTAAAATAAAAAGAACATAAAATCATTTATACAAAAACATTTTAAAAGCAAATTTAAATACCAATATTGTGTTTGTAAAGATTTTTTTTTTCGTGTTCTCTGTTGTTTATGTTTTTCCCAGATTGTATTTAAAGAGATTTGTCGTTTTGTTTACAAAATTTAATTCATTGAAATAGCTTCTCAATGGAAGACACGCCCTTTATAATGTCGTCATCACGGCAGCCGCTTCGGGCTCGAGGCGGCGGGTAGAGGATTTCTGTCATTCGGCCCGTATATTTACACAAAATATTCAACTGTACGAATGACCATCCACATTGCATTCGTTATTCAGCTAACATCGGCGATCCTCTGGTGAGTCTCCATCATTGTTCATCACGCTGTTTGTGCGAGCAGGGATGTCAGCTGATGATTGTTTTCATCTCTCTCACATCATTCTCTAAATGCTGTTATCTTACTTCTTTCGGAAACTGTCTGATACTAACCCACACATAGTGCATTTTAATCAGCACAGATGGCGCTTTTAGCCATAGGGAGATATATGATGGGCCTAGTGAACTGAGCAGTAATGGCCTGTAAATCCAAAGTTGTTGTACAGCTCCTCATGGCCTTTAAAATTGATGACTGAGTCGGAAGTGGTACAAGCTTTTGAATTGTGCTCCAATGTCGCACTTTTGCTGTTGTTGTGTCATGCCATGCTTATATTACACATGTAAACATGAGGGCTGTGATAGGTGGGCAGACTTGACCGGTCAATGCAGTAACAAAAAACGTCACTATTACAAGCAAATACGTTAATATAAAACAGCACATCTCTTTTAGTTTGTATGAAAGCCCTAGAGCTTCCTGTGAGTAATTCTTCATACTAACGCATGCATTGTTTTGATTATTTTCCATTTTTAATAATAAAGGTATTACTGTAGGCACCACGGGATAGTGAAGATTCTGCGTGTTGTGTGTTCCATAATAGAAACTACATATTGCGTTATTATGCAAATATGTCATTGTTCCACACCTGTATGACTTGTTTTCTTTTGTGGAGCACAAAAGAAGATATTTTAAAGAATGTTGGTAACCAAAAAGGTTGGTGGCCATTGACTTACAATGTATGGACATAATAATAATAATAACAACAACAACAACATGAATGAATACATACATATATACGGAGACATTTCTTTCTTCTATATCTTTCTATGTCTTCTATGTTCTGCAGAAGAAAGAAAATAGTTCAGAAAAAGTTGACGTGATTAAATGATAACAGAAATTTCATTTTTGGAGAACTATCCCTTTAACATGCTGAAGAATTTGTTGTAGAACCAAACAAGATATTACAATAAAAAATATTCCAATAGATGATGCATAGAACATTAAATGTATATGTGACCCTGGACCACAAAACCAGTCATAAGGATACTTTTTTTTTTTTAATTGATATTTCTACATAGTCTGAATAAATAAGCTTTCCATTGATGTATGGTTTGTTAGGATAGGACAATATTTGGCTGAGATACAACTATTTGAAAATAATAATTAAAAAAAAATCAAAATCGGCTGTTGCTACAAATATACCCGTGCGACTTATGACTGGTTTTGTGGTCCAGGGTCACATATGTATGGACATTGTATATATAAGTATGTACATTATTCCCAGACAGTGTTACTACTTTAGTTTGAGGGCATATTTTAATTTTACCATGCCCACTTTTTATAAACTTTTTTTTTTTTTAAAGGTCACGTTGGTCAAGCTTATACTGTCTTCTGTCAATACTACTTGCTCCTCAGGCTTTCAGAATGCTGTACCAATTCTACTCTCTATTCTCTGTCCCATAGTGGGGGTGGGGTGAGTGAGGGCTGCTGTGAGGATCCCACACTGTGGGGCAGCCACACACTGAATGGTGTCTCCCACAATGAAGGCGTTGGTGGATGCAGTCTGGGCGGTGTGGAGCATCGGGGCCTCAATCTATGACTACATCCACACCAGTGCCATGGAAGAGCGCATTCACTCACTGGAGAGTGCTTTAACCATCCACCAGTGTGTCATTGGCCTGCTCTCTGCTGGACTTGTGGCCCTCTTCACCTACATTCTGTTAAGGAAGCACTGACCCAGGATTTCAGCCTTTTTTTTTTGTATGCAAGACTACATCGGTGACATCAGAGGGAATTCTGGAACCATGTTGATGCCAAGCTTTGTTCAATTCATTTTAAAGGGATTTTAACATGTCTGACTTTTACCTAATTGATTATTTACTAAACTTTATTAGTTTCTAATTCTGTTAAAATTTCACTACTGTATTATCTGGGTTGATGTGATTCATAGTAATCTGGTAAACCAAAATAAGCGTATCTCTAAATTAAAAGTAGTCTTCCACCATGTCTTATAATGGACTTTTAAGGTCACTGATGGCTACCACAGAGGAAAGATTCAGAGATGCAACCTGTCCACGGTTCTTTACACAAAGCTTGGTGACAGCTGAACAAACACAAAACAACTACTGGATCAGCAGGCTTTTCAGCCTGTTTGCTGCTATCATCAGTGGAGTCAGCTTGTGTGTCTTGGTTACTTTTAACAAAACATTCAACTTGGCAATGACTAAGCATAATGTAATTTATTTATTATGTTAACCTATGACATCTCAGCTTATTTCTTAACATTATGGTTAATGAGAGGCATCAATGACTTGATTAAATTCTTGATTTTACAACTTGATTGAGAACTTAAAGTGGCCTTAATCACTAAAGGTATCTGATGTAGTCAACTTGACAATGTTATCAGTGTATTAACTACTACTATATGTAGATGGGTTTTTAATTTGGTTTCATGTTAAAGTTCATCGGTTAATGCACCATTGTGTTTTATAGGTTATCATTTTTACTTTTACCATGTTTCCTCAGAAACGTTTTCTCCTGGGGCAAAAAAACTACCATTAAAATGTTACACCTGTTCTGTCAGCAAAACGAATGTCTATCTTTATAATGCAAAAGAAAAGTCAGAGTATTTTGACTTTGAATTGATGCTATGCTACCTACTAAAGCATTTCTCCATTGTACTACGTTTGAATTGAACTTTTGTTTTATTTGGTGTGCTGTTCTAAGTGAGGATCTCTTAAAATTCAATGTAAAGCATTTCTTTAACAAAGACAATGTCATAAAATGTTTATTACTGGAACAACAGAACAGTGCAAATGTCTACGCACCAGCATGTTTGAAAAACTTCAGAAGGATCGGGAAATTGGGCTTTTCAAAGCGAAATCACTGAAGCCAGTTTGTGGTCCAAATATGAACAACACAGAAAACACATTGAAGATTCATACTGGTTTTACATGTGCCCAGTCTGCAGAAGTGTGTACTTCGTGGTAAAGTGCTCAACACTTTCGCCCTCCAGGGTCTTAACAGCCCTCCAGTGGAGCTTCCCACAGTTCTCTGGGTTTCCGTGGCTTCCCAGCTCTTCCTTGATGTATTCCATCCAGAGATCTAAGACATCAAATTATTGACAAATTCAGAGAAATATACTACTGTAAGGATAAAAGAAACTCAGATATTTTGATCTCCTGAGAAACAGACAATACAGTGGCATCTTCAAGACACCCCACAGAGGGGTGGTGCAGGAAACGCCTCTCACACATATGCATCAGTGCCTTTTCATCTGCTCCCTCCACTGGATTCACTCAGAATGGTCAATAGTATAATGTTATATTAACTGTCGGGGTCTAGACAAGGGGTTCTAGAAGAACCGCTGATTAATGTTTGAGTATTACATGGGTAACTGTGGGGGGCTAAACAGACCTACTATTTAAGGTATATTAAATAGTATTAGCCACAAACCTCTGGATAAGGATCAGACTGGCGAGTTTTGTGATCGTGGAGCCCACGCATAGCGGCCGCCGTGAGGCATCCTAAATAACATAGATTCTTAATGAACGAGAAAATACAGAGTAAAGAGTTAACTAGAATTATCAAATGTCAGAATAATTAGAGACCGACAAACAACCAATTTGCCTTTCAACCTAAATTCGAGGTAATACTAAAATGGAGTCAGATTAGATAATAAAATGGAGTCAGATTTGAGTTAAACCTAAATTGAATAACTCTGCGCGCTGAAAAGACCGAACACGCAAGTGACCTTCATCCACCACTGGATACCTTCCTTGGGCCAAGTGTGTGGACCTTACACTACTCAAAGTATGAAAGAGAGTTGCCTCTTTAAAGGCTAAAAGCACTGAATCACACTCACCTTCATCTGAGTAACCGAATTCACGAAGCGCTCGCTCATAGTAGTCTCTCAGGTTACTCATCTTTGGTGTCTCCTGAGAGAATAATACAAATCAGTAACACACTGTACGTGTTTATATACACATGTCTGCTGGTTGCTAAATATTTTAGACACCTGTCTATGGGATGATATTAGACTCAAAATGATTAATAGATGCACGCACAATTATCCATGTACTGCATACATTTAGCGTTTTATAGGCTATAGCCTATTCCGCGCTCAAGCGGATCGCATAAATAGCTAGAACATATTTTATTTAGGCGACTTATTACTAAACTGTTTTCTGAGTGAGTGTCTGCAAAGATTAAGTTGACGATGCTGATGAACGACTTCATTCTCAAAATTTAATTATTTTTATTCTCAATATTTTATTTCTACATTTTTCTGGTTTCCAAAAAAAAAAAAAAAATCATGGTCTTCTTCACATGAAAAATTATCCTCTTCACATGAGCAAATATGTGCTTGGCCCGAGCTTAGGCTGAACGGCACGGATTGTACTAAAGTGACGTGACATGTGGCCAAGTATGGTGACCCATACTTGGAATTAGTGCTCTGCATTTATCCCATCCAAAGTGCACACACACAGCAGTCAACTCGCACACACCGTGAACACACACCCGGAGCAGTGGGCAGCCATTTTTGCTGCGGCGCCTGGGGAGCAGTTGGGGGTTTGGTGCTTTGCTCAAGAGCACCTCAGTCATGGTATTGAAGGTGGGAGAGAGGGCTGTACATTCACTCCCCCCACCTAACCTTTGGGTTAAGTCCGACTCTCTAACCATTAGGCCACGACTTCCCCCTACAGGCTGTTTTAATTAACCAGTGTATCTAGATTTTATAGCAGGGCTGTCCAAACTCGGTCCTGGTAGGCCGGTGTCCTGCAGAGTTTAGCTCCAACCCCAATTAAACACACCTTTTAGCTCCAACCCCAATTGAACACACCTGAACTAGCTAATCAAGGTCTTACTAGGCATACCAGAAACATCCTGGCAGGTGTGCTGAGGCAAGTTGAAGCTAAACTCTGCAGGACACCGGCCCTCCAGGACCGAGTTTGGACATAGATTCTATAGTGTATCTATATGTTTGGTTGACTGTATTTTATTCTGATAATGAACAGGCTGCAGCGTTTGCAATGCTGTAGGCCAGTGGTCGCCAACCCGTCGATCGCGATCTTTATTACTGTCCCAGTAGATCCCGAAAAAAAACAGTAAAATAAATACAAAAATGCATTACATTACTGGGGTTATATTAATGTATCACTGAAGGGAGCTGTCTTGAGAAAAGTTTCGATGGCAATGGCATTTTCTTCTCCGTATAAAGCGCAACTCTGCTTTGTTTACAGCTGTAAACAAGGAAACGCTATATTGCGGAATTGGGCTACTTTAACACTGTTGCCGCGGGTTGTTGTTCATGTCCGCGGGTTGAAGCGACCCCAATAACGTGATATTTAGCCCCTGGAATGCGAATTTTACTGGAAGATCCCCTCCGAAAAACGTGTATTTTACCCCCAGAATGGACAGGGGAACCCCCTCGAAACGCGATTGGTCTAGTTTTATTGCGAAAACCTGGCAACCCTGTTCATAGGCGCCACCTGCTGTCAGAGAGTGCGTCTCATTCAGACCTGCTGTTTTTGTTTCGTGCAGATGTTTTATGTAGCAAATAAATAAATAACACCTAAAGTCAGACCATTCTGTTTTTGTTTTAAATCCTTAAATTAATCTAAATCAAATCAAAAACAACTGCCCGTGCAGATCGTGATTAAAATGCAGTGGTTGCCTCTAATTTCAAATGGCTAGATATTTTTGTTTGAAGCCAGTTTGTTTGTTATAAAGCAAATAGCCAATAAATAAATTTGCTTAAATATCAGTATCAGCATCAGCCAATTTGCTAGTTAAAAAAAAAGAAAGAAGAAAGAAAATCTGAATTCTGAATCAGCTATGATCAGAGCATCACTAATTAAAATACTAAGTAAAAGGCCTCAAATTTGAAGTACAATCTGGGATGTCTTTTTCTATCAATTCTTCAATAGGTAGATCTCGTCTTTCATAAAGGCCGAGGTCAGGGATCTTGGGCCTAAAAAGGTTGGTGACCACTGCTGTAGGCCTATATGAAAGGTGCATTTCTCTCATACGGCAGAGAAGGCTAATCAGCATCGTCAACTTCATCTTTGCATAATAATAATAGCCTACAAGGAAGGAATAATTGACAACCTGCCGTTGAATTACAGAAAGAAAGAAAAAACCAAGGTACCATCACGAAGTTCTTGTTTGGCAAAATTACAAAGAAAATCAGTGACCACTAGATGGCATGAACCGAACAAGATCGACTCGAACTAGACGTCAATTAATGCACGCGTGTCACCTGATCCACTTATGCACAGATTTTTGCATGAGCAATTTATGATATATTAATGCAGAACAGAAGATTTTTATTCACAAACAGGTCTGTATTTGTACAAATCGCTGCACAATCATTTAATCCCGAATTCCACATACTCAAATTGAAAGGCATTTGTTTGTGGTTAGTAAGATACATGCATACAATTTATGCAGTACATGGATAATTGTGCGTGCATCTATTAATCATTTAGAGTCTAATATCATCCCATACCTGTCACCAGGTGCTACATCGCTTTTACCTGCTCTTTTTCAATCTCAATCATCTTCATGAAGAATGTCTTAGTGAAGGGTCTGTGTTCATGTAAGCTGAAACCCAAGAGAAGAGGTTGTTTTTAAATTGCTTGCCTTATTTGTAGATATACAGTGGTGTCCAAAAAGTAAAAAAAAAACTAACTGAAAATAACGTTTCAGTATTTGTAAAACAATTATTTTAAATAAGAACAATGCAAAATAATAAATATTTTTACTAGTGGCTTCAGCCTTTCAGGCCCCACCATAGAGCACAGCTTTATTTGATGTGTACCTTGTGAATGTTTTTCTAGCCCTTTTGTAACCACCAGTTTTATATGACCATTCAAGGTATTTTTCCTTCATGGCAGATGACACTGCAGGTACTGGAGACAGAAGCCCTTTCTGCAAGTACAGGTTCAGGAGCAATTTAAATACATTTTATACATTAACTACATTAGAATTCAAATTAATCAATCTGATTGCCTTTATATCAACCATAATCAATTGGTCTTGGATGAGTTTTAGAGGAAACACTACGCAAAGTCATGTCTCACCTGAAAAAAGGTCTCTGTGTCCTCTGGTATCTGTGAGGTCATGCTCCAATCTGCCTGCAGCTGCCATAATGGCAGACTTTCCTGTAGAACATATTATAGACTGATTATTAAATATATCTTTGGGTTCAAACTCCCTATACCACACTGAAAATATATTAAGGTTTCAATGAAAAGTGAAAATAAAAATTAATATTAATATATGAAGAGTTCATTTTCAAAAACATAACAATTTTTAAAAATTTTCCAAAATCATGTTTTTTCATTATGCCTTCCAATTAATCAAACTGCAGTTGGGTTATTTTGATTAGGTAAAAAAATAACTAAAAATACTAACGAAACAACAATAAAAACATAATAAAAACCTTAAAAAAAAAAAAAAACTGAGTTATCTGTTTTTGCAAATAAACTTCTATATATATATATATATAAGCAAATTTGTGACATTTGACTCTTGGAACTCATTTGTACAATTCAAGTAAATTTCCTTTCTTTCAGTGAAGTACAAAAGATGTTCTTTGGAACATTCTCAAATTGGATCATCAGGTTTTGCACATTTTTGAACATTTTGAACATTTATGCTTTACACTGTCAAAGAAATTCTGAAATTCATGTACAATTGTCGTGCTGATAATATAATTCATGAAAACAAGAGCATTTGCACTACTGCTACAAGGATTTGGACCTCATCGTATTATATTACATTTCATTACAGTAATGGGTTCCTTCACTTTTCTCCCTTAATATCTCTAATTCCACAAGAAACTGACAGAACCATATTGTTTGGACAAAACAAACACAAAGATATGAAGGACCGAGAAATGAAACAG